CAAAATTTTTATTATAAGAATTAGCTACAAGGAGGGAAAAAAGAGGAACAAAAAAAAGTAAAAATTATGGATGTTTTTAATGCATATTTTTTAAATTTATGCAGTGCACACAATGAAAATGCAAGCACATGCACTATGAGATCCGATTAGATCCGACGAAGAATTGTGCTCGTCTTAACAAACTCACGAGAAACCTAGGGCGAGGGATGGAGGGGTGTACCAACCTTATTGAGCAAGGAAACTAGACACCCACCTCAATTTGCATGGAACTAAATGGGGAATCCCTTGCAAAGAGGATTCTCCGTCACCGAGAAGACGACGAACGATGGGATGCCTTCATTTTCTTGGCCGGTGGATTTCAAACGTCCATCCGGATGAAATCACTGAGGCAAACGTCGGGATTAGCACAACCCCAACTTTTGAATTTTAGGCTAAAAAGAAAAGAGGTAGGTTTTGCTCTTTGGAGTCGTAGTGGTAAACACAAAGCACCTAATCCTATGAGGCTTTCTCTAAGCACATAAAAATCCTAACCTAACTCCTCTAAAATCTAGACCTAGGGGGCTCTAGGAATGAAAATCACAAGAGTTCAAGGAATCTCGCCGACACGGTGGTTGATGTCGTGTTCTCTGGGCTTGTCCGAGCTCCTTCGAGGTGAAGATGACGAACCCGTTTCTTCTCCAAGGCAGAGAAGAAGCTCGCCTTGTCGGAGAGGATGACAGAGCCAAATTCCTTCTCCAAGATTGTGGAAGCTCTCCTCATCAAAGTGAATGTTGAGATTGCTGGAGTTTTCCTTCTCCAATGCTAGAAAGAAGCTCCCTTAGGCTCAACTCATGGAGGGTCGTTGGTAAGAAGAAGCCAACAAAGATGATGAAAAACAGGAAGAAGAAGCAGAAGGAGAAGATGAAAGAACCAACTCCCCAAACTTCTCCTTGAAGAAGATGAAGGATTTCTTCCTCAAAGCTCCCTGGTACCTCCTAAGCTCCTCTGCTCAGCTCCTTGGAATTCCTGATTATAAAATGGCCAGATCTCGATTCTTCTCCCAATTGGTGGAGATAACTCTTGGCCCAAAGCTTGGAATGACAACTTGTTCCCTTTAGAGGGGTCTCAGGTTTCTCCATATGCCTTTTTTGGGTGAAGGACAAGACAAAACCCATTGTTCGGTGGTCATTGTAACGTTGCTGGCAGAAATTCAAAGACTAAAGGGCTGAAATCGCAAAACAGGTTGAACCGGAGTGGCCATGTCGAATTAGGGCGTGGTCATGCCACTGCAGCAAGAGTCGCGGATGAGGGGTCGGTGTGGCCATGCATGAGACTAGACTTAATTATGTTGTGCCTTCTGTCTGGCTGGCGTGGTCACACCACCTTTGGGCATGGTTACAACACCTTCGGGCGTGGTCAAGCGGTCAAGGGACCTGGGAGCCTCTCCGAGATTTAAGAGTGGTCATGTCAGTTTTAGAATTGATCACGCCACAATTTGAGCATGGCGACGCCTAATTTAGGTGTGGTCACGCTGGTCCTCACATAAATCAGGCTTCTGAAAAAGTTGGTTGAAGGGGTTTTGAGCCTTGTGGGAACTCTGGAGAACCAATTATGAGCAAAACATGATCCTCGGACATCCGAACAGGTCATAAAAGTATCGTCAGAGCTCGAGAAGACCTTCCATATACATGTCACTAGGTAAAAACAGTTCCAACATAAAATTTGTCTGCCCAGACCTTAGGCTTAAGGTACAAACACAAAGCGGGGTAACTTCGTTGATGGTCTACGTCATGAGAACATCTATATCAGTAAGATATAGCCCCGCGACACAGAAATGAATGTTAGCACAGGGAACACTATAAATGATGCCGACTTGGTGATGATCGCGTCAGAGCATGGCTAAGGTGGTGTGTACCCAAACTTATCATACTCGTAGGGCTCACTTGAAGGTCCTACGGACTCCCCGAGTCACGATATGCCACGTATGATCTCAATACTATATTGTATCACTCAACAAAGATGTACCGCATATGTTGCATAAAAAATGGATGCCAACAAGATTCTCTTTAGTATTGAACATGATATTTTCAGTGTCCGCTAGATACATCTTTAATTCATGGTATCCGGAGAAAGCATCGAGAAAGTTCATGATGGAGTGGTCGATAGCCATATCCATAAGTGTTTAGATCAATGATAGGGAGTAGTTGTCCTTTGGGCAGTCTGCATTGAGGTTGGTGAATTCAAAACTCATCTACCACTTGTTTTTGGCCTTTTGGAGTCTAATACCCTACCTCTAGCAGCTTCTGCATGTCTTGATTAGTTTTTTTAGTGTAAGGGTCCCTGACCTCATCTTCTATTTGATGGGTTGGGTCGAGGGGTTTATAATGGGAAGGTGACATGCTACATCAATGGAGACTCTGACATTTCTTCGATCAACCTAGCAAACATGTCTTGGTACTCACATAGTGTCTAGATGAACTACTCCTTATGAGGTGCATAAAAAAACCATGCTTAGTCGAAAAGATTTACCATTCTCACAAGTTGTAGCTATGATTTCTTCAATAGTCTCACTAGCTTTCAAGCCACTTTCATGTTGGGATCAAGCTCCAATAGTTGTAAGGATTGCCACGTAGTGAAAGTATTATGTTGTAAACGTGATTGGGGATGATCTATAATCCACTGTTGGCACGAGGCAGTGATAAAAAACTTGCAAGAGCAAAGCCTTTTTAGGCTTGCTTGCCAGGAAGCTTCAATCCCATCCCCTCTAACAATTGTTGGGATAAATTTTACAATATGTAATCATTGCGTTCTTCTTCTATCAGAGCTTTTCCATATGTAATGAATACCTTCAACTTCCTGAAATGGATAATATCTTTCATCAAAGTTTGGAGGTGTCACCCTTCCTCAGTATCATGTCTATAATCTAGATGGTAGCCCCACTATCTGTTTGGGTTGCAAGTGTATCCTCGAGCCTTCATTGGAGTGGGCTTCCAGAATAAGTCGTTCTTTTAGATAGCCTCCACTACTTTTGCCATTGAGACCCTTAACCGGGTTGGTTGGGGGACCTCATGAGTTAGAAGTAGTGGCCTCTCATGATAGTGATTCACCTGCTGCCTTGATTCTATGCCCTTCCCATGTTTGGGTGTGTCGTCCTCTATGGTCACATGACTCCAAATAAAGCGAGGGAAGTTGTCCTCATATCTGGGTCACATCATTGGTTAGGAAGGATGAATCAATTTTTATTGCCTCCGTGGGAGCCGTTATTCAACAAATATTGTGGCGATCGCTCAATCTTTTGTAGGATTGAGACGAGTTGTGCTCTTCCACCAATATGTGATTTTTGACAAGTTCCAACAACCCAGCTAATGTCTTCAGGCATTATGTGCCTAATGCACAACGGAAGGAACCTTCTCTGACTCCTTGAGCGAGGGCTACATGAGAAACCGTGGGTTCAAGTTATTGTAACTTCCAACATTTCTTTCTAAAAATGGGTTACAAAGGCAAGTAGAGACTCTCCATGTCCCTATCGCAGCTACAACACTGCTTGAAAGTTATTTTGGCATTTTTACGCACTAGCACACTACACTATGAACATTCTCTTGAATTATGTGAAAGAAGTAATCACTCACACTAGACGACGATTAAACCACAAGAGGGTAGATTCCTTTAGGGTCATGAAGAAGAGTCAACACTTCAATATGTCGTTTATCCTTTGTAAGCATAATGTCGACTCAAAAGAAGCGATGTGGTCAGATGAGTTGGATTGCTTCAATAGGGCTCTGAGGTTGGTATCTTGAAGAGACCGGGAGACTTAGCTTTAGATATTTGCCTGGAGAAAGCATTCAATGGGGGATTAAGCTACGAGATATTAACGTGCCCCTGCTTGTTACGGACTAGGGGCGTTGATCCTGTGATGTCGGCGTAGTAGGTGTTATCGCTCACATTAAGGGTCGTTGATATAGCTCTCCTGGCATTGGCACCGGATCTCCTCTAGCAACCACATACTACTGGTTGATCTAACAGAGCCACCCGTTGGGAAAGTGTTTCCTTGATCATTTCTATCATATGCTCTTTGAGTTCTTAGATCTGTTGAGGCACAAAATCTTTTGTGCATTCCATGTTGTCTGTGATTTTGTGATGACTTTTTCCTCTGTGTTGCTCCTCTTCTCACTTGTGACATGAACCGTGCTCACCACACTTTTTCAAAGTATTAAACCTAAATCTATCCCTGAATTACAACCAAGTAATTATGAAAGTAATGAGAGCGAGAAAGAGAATATTATGAGAAATGAGAGATGAAATAGATGAAATGAAGAGAAATCAAAGAAGAATGGCCAAATATTGAGGCTAATTCCTTTAAAAAAAAAAGGATCCCCTCAAAAGTGTTCTATGTTATATTTAATTTTCTCTATTTTTATTGGTTAAGTATTCGTGAAAAGACACTTTCGGACCTATCATGACAAAAGCTTTAGGAGTGGGTCACTCGGATCCCTACCACCCTTACTGTCATATTCTATGATCTTATAAGGAGTTGATCTCAGGTTAGGTCGTGAGGATGTTAAGGCGAGCCGCTCGACCCCCAGCGACTGACTTCCAACATCTAGCCACAGTTGCTAGAACACATGCCTTGCCTCGTATACTCTTTCTCAACTACTAGACCATTTCTCGCCCAACTCCGATCTCTCGGTCTGGAGCGCTCGACCATAATCACTAGGCATCGATTACTCAACATTGACTACGCACTCGAATGGCTTCCACCGACCTATGCATTCTGAGCTATTGCCAATGACTGACTTTGACCATTTGATGCTTTATAGATATATATCTATATATGGTTGTGTGTACACGACCAAACATCATGACACGGAAATTTGCTTGCCACCCCGAAAATTCCACTGGCTTTTACGAAATGGAG